AAAAAAAAAAAAACATTTGGGTGTAAATGTATATAAAATTTTCCAGGAGAAATTTAGGCAAAGTACTGTGAATTTTTACTAATAGATTATTTTGTTCATTTGCTGGATGATCCATGATAACTATTAATTTGTATTAAAACGAGGGACGGAAGCACCAAAAGAGGTTTGGGGTTTTTTAAATCTGATTATATGTAACACAATTTCCATACAGATCTCATTCATATTTGTAATACGCACCTAATTACCTAGTGATTTCAAGTCTCAGGGTACACAGGGTCAGGCCTGGAACACTCTGATGGAAGCTCTGTGAGGAAAAGCTAACATTTGAAGAAGAATGCTGTTTACTGCTGGTTCTGTCATTCAAATGAAATATAAACCTGTTGTTGTGACTGGTTTGGGTCATTGCATTTCCATACCCTTCTTTTGCCCTCAAACACTGGCTGCAAAGGCCAAAATTATGATTGATTGCCAATGCTGTTTATTACTGACTATGCTTAAAGCTTCGTCTGCAATTTAAGTTGGATAAATAAATTTTCTTTTTTTTAAACCGTAACTATTTCTGGTAGTAATCCTGTTGGCATTGGTAGGTGAATTCCATTTTCACACAATAATGACCACAGTTTGCTAGCAAACTATTTTCTTTGGGTGTAACCTTAATATTTGGGTTAAGTTTTCCACCATAATTTTCTCTTTGCATTTTCTTATGCCTAAAAAAATATTTCAGGGACTGAAAAGGCTCACACATACCAACCTGAAGTGATTTTTTTTGTTTGTTTGTTTGTTTTTTCCTAAATGGGCTTCTTTGCAAGTGCTTGGACTTTGGGTGTATGTTTAGGTGCATGCAAGCAAAATAATACATATATACATATTTATGAACAAATGTGCACGTCTTGTGTAATTTTTTTCAAAACATCTTCCATCAGATCACAGCACATCCCTTATAGTCTTTAAAAGAAGAATGCCACACAACATTTCAAAGTAAAAATGAGGAGTTGAGAGATATTTTTGTTATTTTAAAGCAGTAAAGGTTTTTGTGAGAGGAGAAGTACTTAGGACACTGGTTTGTTTTAAGGCAAGTTGTGAACTGAGCCATGCCAGGAGAAGATATTTGAGATAAAGTACTTCCTGACTGCACAAGTCTTAGAGCCTGGGCACCTGTAAGAGTGGGAGAAGCCTTCCATTCTTTGTTTGTTAGAATTTACTGTGCAACTGTCTTCATGTGCCTACGCATTCCCAAATCAGTCCTGTTTACTGTATGAGCTATACACAGTAAACTGCTTCCATTTCAGCACAGATTCCTATATGCTAATTTAATTTATATCCTGGGCGTATGTCCTGGAAGGATGTTGTAGCCTTGAAATGGAAATTGTTTGGGCTTGTGAGAGTCCTTTCTCATATTCCGCAGAGGAGCCAGTGGCCTGCCAGAAGGTGGTTGATGTGCATAAAGAAAAAGAGGTGAATGTAAATATATGGTGGTGTTTTGCTGCGACTTCTCAGTATTCTAAGTTCTCTGACATCTCAGAGTGCTTTCTGTTCACCTAATTGAAAATGGACTTTCATACATTGAAGGAAGCAGGCTAAGCATGTAAGAGCTTGAAAAGAATCTTCAAGAACTCTTTTCTTCTGTGCAGTAAGTGCATTAAGCTGCTTTTACCAGTTCTTGAGGTCTTTAATGCATCCTAGATCATAATCCTGGCTTTTTCATGGAAAGGACGCAAGTATAGTGTGTACGTGTAGGAAAAAACAGTTGGGAAAGCGTATGGGGGAAGGGAAGACTAATATATGGTATTCTTCTCAGAACAGGACTTACATTTCCATTCTTAAATGTACAGTATTTGAGCTTATGACTGGAGATCTCAGATGCTACCACAGTAAAAATAATAGTAATAAATGATAGCGTGGTATGAAAGTGATACTTAAGGGTTTGCTGTGGCTCTGCCCATGAAAGATGAGCTTTTATCCTAGTACATAGGTTGTTAATATATATGCAGTCATATTTGGAAATGTTTTAAATATTTACTGATCAACTGATCAGTTGATCTCTGGGAGTCTGTGTAGCTAAATATTTAGCGCCTGGAATCCAAAAGTCCCAGTATCGTCGTTTAACTTTTTGAACTTAGCCCCCAAAGTTCTTGAAAATCCATTGTTTTTCTACTTAAAGGGATTTTTTGGTCTGAGATTCTCACACATTTTCAAAGCTAGAAATAAGATTTACATGCATCAGTGAAGACAGAATCAGCCATTTCTGATCACAGTGTCTCTGATCCTGTTTTTTCAGGATCATAAGCTATTGGACCTTATGACTTGCTAGTGGAACTGCTTTTCATCCTGTTCCTTGATGAAATTGAGACTAAGACAGGTTGAAGCATCAATATTTAGTCCCACAAATTTAAGTTTGGCAGCTGTCCAAAGCAGCTCAATGATTTGGAATGGTACAATAAGTATATAAGTAAAATAGATTAGTAGATAGAGTCCATTTCATTATAGATCTCTTTTATTTCACGTGTTTGGAGAGCTGTTTCATGGAGTGAAGTTGCCAGTTTTCAGTATCTCCTTGTTAGGATGTCCATTTCCTGACTTTTTCCTTATTTTTTTAATTTATTTTTCATTTAAGGAACTTCTGAAGCAGATGTTCTGTCTATTAGACCTAGACATTATCATGATTGGTATGTGATACTTTCAAGTTCATTTATATACACTTAGTTTGTTCGGTGGGATTGTAGGTGTTTAAGAATTCCTGTTGCCAACAAGTAAAGTGACTAAGTTTCAGAGAGAGTGACAAATAACTTGATATAGTGTGATGGAGGAGATGCTGGATCAGGGAGCTGTCTTCCTTGTGCTCAGTCACCCAGCTCTCTTCCTTCTCCACCTTTTTCTTTCTTGCAAAACAAACAGTTGTGCAAGCAGCAGAACTACTGAAGTCCAGTTTCATATAGATCTTTCCCTTTATCCCCTAAATCGTGTTTGCTGCAAAAACTCCAGCTCTCCCATGTCCTCCTGACACCAGCATTTGGTAAGAGACAGCTGAACTGAGGCTAGCCGGGAACCACATAGGTGCCAGCTGTCCAGGTAGTATGAGCCTGGGGATTACCCAGTTGAGCAGTGACAGAAAGTACAAACTAAGTGGGGTTTGCCTCTTTTTCAGTAGGGGTACAACGTTACTACTGCTACTAATTTAACATACTTAACTTAAACTCAGACTATTACTCACTTCTACTCACTTTGTTTCAGTTTTGCTATTCTAGACCTTGTTCTACTGCCTCCCCTACTCTGACTCCTTTGTTTTGCTGGAGTTTGTCATATTTTATGGGCTACATGAGGAAGCTCCTGTTCTTCTGTCAGAGTTGGGTTCTCATTTTGATACTAGCTGGTCTGTTAGCTTTCTTTGTAAATATAACTAGTTACCTTCACTGAAAGAGGTGAGAATACCTGTAAGTGTTAAGATGTTGGGAAGGGGAAGGAATTACAAGGATGGTATGAAGAGGGTGCTAGTGCAGTGGAGTTAAGGAAAAAAAGACTGAAAAGAGGAAATCCGATGGGGATATCTATTGCATCTTCCAATAATGTTATAAGGGAAGTGCTGGTGACAATGGGCAAAATAGTAGAAAATTCATTTTGGGAGAGTGCTAGACTGTTAGGAATACGAACCAATTATCTTATTATACATGTTCCATCTCTGAGTGTTATGATTAAAACCAGAAGAAATGTGAGCTAAGACAGCATTACTCCCCCTGTTTCTACTTAATTGTCCAGAAGTCTCTGCCCAAAATGTAAAAGTAATTGGGGCTACACAGTTGTAGTGGGAGCGAATGGGGAAAGAAGTGGGGAAAGATAGAAGAAAAAAACCTACATTTTGCAGCACAGTCGTGTGTTAATAATTCAAGAAAACACTGCTTCATTTTTATTTTTTTTTTATGGCTAAGAATTCCCTGGTATCAGCTACCGTTTTCCTATTGACTACGTAAGTCCTAGGCTGGAGAACAGAGGCAGTCGTTAACATGGTGTAAGTACATAGCAGTACTGAGCGAGGCCAAAACTCTTCTTAGCCTGGTCCTTCGCTCCTGGGAGTGACCAGCAGTGCAAGCGTAAGGAAGAGTGCCACACACACAGAGTCAGCAGTAAAGGGCAAAGCACCCGTTCCTTCAGAGCGGTTAGTTTCTGTAATTAATTCATGTGTTCTTGCAACCTTTGCTTCTTCTCAGTATTGTAATACTGGTCAGGATCCTGCTACCTGTTGGATGTCAGTCAAGGAGGGCTGAGCATGGGGGAGAACCTTTAAAAAGAGAACTTCTTACTACCATCTCTCATACAACTTTCAAATATTGTAAAGAGAGGGGAGACATTAGTTATACACAGTCAGGAAGGGCAGAAGGGTCTTTTGTGTACCAAACCTGCTGAAGGTGGCTTTAGACTTAAGCCTGAAGCTACCAAGAGCTGGATTTCAGAACATGTTCTACAGTTCAAGGCTTTGAAAACTCTCTGGGTGTAACAAAGTGCAATGAATAGGAAAACAGGTTATTAAAACCAGTTACTAAATAAATAGAATACTGAGTATTTTGTATCAAGACAAATTGTAACAAAGACAAGAAGCTTTCCTCATTATGGTATTTGTCTGTAACTGTGTAGCCATTGAAGTGTCAATAGAAAACAGCATAGAATTACATTCGATCTTGCCTATTCTAGAAAATGAGATGTGTTCGAATCAGAAGCTATGCTTAGGAGTTATTTGCTGAAACACAGTTTCCTGATAGTGTAACCAGTTCTAATTTGTTTTTTTGGTTTCAACATTGTTTTCATAGGAATTTTGCCTTCTTGGAGAAACAGTAGAAAATGCAAAACGAAATAATAAAGCCTGCTAAATACTTCTCAGAAGTGGAGAAGAGTGTGCTGCTTGCATTAGTTGAAAAATACAAATACGTGCTTGAATGTAAAAAAAGTGATGCAAGAACTATTGCTCTGAAACAACGCACCTGGCAAGCACTAGCTCATGAATATAATTCACAGCCCAGCGTATCACTGCGAGACTTCAAACAGTTAAAGAAATGCTGGGAAAATATCAAGGCACGGACAAAAAAGATAATGGCACATGAAAGGCGGGAGAAGGTAAAAAGAAGTATTAGTCCACTTATAAATACTCACATCATAG